AAAAAAAAAAAAAAAAAAAAAAAAAAAAAAAAAAAAAAAAAAAAAAAAAAAAAAAAAAGAGTTGGGGTCACACATCTCATTGATATGGTAAAACCAATGTAAACTCTAAGAAAAGATTTATGTTGTGGTATAATGTGATAATTGTCAACATGTATTGTTTATTAATGTTTTTCCGAGGCTGAAAAACGGTTACTACTCATGAGAAAATAAAATATATTTTCGCTAATTTTTTTTACAGACTCATCCGTATATTCATGTTCTACATTGTGTATAACAATGGTGCAATTGTACACAGTTCTAAAAATCTGTGCTGAACTGAGCTCCCCATTCTACACTTAATCGTTCACATACCAGTTATGTGTAGAATCAATTAAACCATCTACACACCTTTTCAAACTACCGTGCAGAATCACCTGGACTATTCTACACATTCTAAAATACTCGTATAGAACTACATGCATGGTTCAACACTTGTGTAGATCTTGTATAAGTTTCAACACACGCCAAATTGGTTGTGCCGAACAATTCTGTGTTGAAAATTCATGTGTTCAATTGTATTGGACCTCTGTGAAGAATTTTCCGGTGCAGAACTGACCCCCTCTCGAAAAGTAACGTTGGGTATGAAAAGGTTGGTACAGCGAGTTAGATGGATTATTGGAAAATATATTTCCATTAAACTTGATAATAACTGGGGTGTGCTTGAGACAATCGCTGTGCCCTGTAAATAGTATGCATCGCAGTAGAATGGATGACCGAGTTGACTGAGGGGAACTTTGCAAGGGGCCCGCACGAAAGACTCGCATATTTGAAGAAATAGGGGATGATAATTATGGAAAAAAGAGCACGAAAAGGTAGAGATTAGGCATATAGGTATTAGGAGCGAGATTAGGAGAGCGCGCGGTGGCTCGGTTGGCTGGTTTGTGGGACGGCACGCGGGGAGACTGCGGGTTCGTTTCCCGGCCAGTGCGACTCTCCCGAGCAAGTACCTCTGTGAATTTTCACATGTGCTTTTTCACCATGCAATGCTTCTCGTGAAGGGATGGGCGACCTTCCCGCAGCAAAAATTGCCTACCACATAGATCCTTTGCTCTCGAGATGGTCTATGTGACATCATCAACGTACCAACGGAACTACAAACTGCGTATAAATGTGAAAAAGTAACCAATAATGTAACATATAAACCATTTACTTGTAGTATGTAACAAATATAATGTAACAATGTGCCTTACTGTACCAAGGCTATATATACTCGTTTACAATAAAGCAAAAAACAAATACACTAGGTTAGTAGGTATTTATTTTAAAAAAAATAATAATAAAAAGGATGAGTAAGAATCCAGGAATGGGTATACGTTGGAATCTTAACACATAGCTATGTATAATAACCCAATACTGCAACCTTTGTATTTAAATACATCGGTTGGGTCCTCAGACCTTGGGAACAATTCATCACCACTGATTTGTGCATTGCAAGCTGAACTGAGGGAGAGATGTAACAACTCCACAAACTACCTCAAAAGGAAAAACAGTTGTAAAAAAATTTATGAAATGTATCTCCCCACTCAGAAATGGGTAGTAGGATTTTTTTTCGAGCTAATCACAAGTTCGAAGTCGAAAATAAAAAATACCACACTTGACAGTAAATTTCGTTCTATTTTTGGCTGAAAATTAGAAAATACATATTCCACGGCCAATACGTCTTCCAGTGGGTACTTTGAGTCGTTCATCACAATGCCGAGATTGGAATTAAATGATTTAGATCTCCACTGCGTTTTTCTATTAAAATCATGTAAGTAATATTGTTTTAAAAAAAAATGTTCTTTGCAACATACACTTAACAACCCAATTCTTTGAATCAAAGAAAATTTCCTTATCCTCATTTTGTTCAATATTTTCTTTTAATTGAATCAAATTTAGTCGATCTAAAAAAGCATTTCGTACAACTAAATGAGAAATTTGTCATTAAAAACAGAAAAATTTAATTCAATAAAACATTGTTTTTATCAAACTTATTTTTTTACTCATAAGAAAATATTTAACGGAATGAGGGTAAAGAAATTTTCTTTGATTCAAAGAATTGGGTTGCTCAGTGATACGAGAAGTGTATAGCATTGTTTAAAACAGCTGTCTTAATTTTTTTACGTGGCTCTACCTCATAGTTGATTGTCTATGCACTTTGTTCAATGCTACTATCGATTACACAGCACTGCTCACGGCCTAGCGACACAAGTTTCAGGGGATCGCATGACGATATATCATAGTGAGCCTTGAAAAGCAAACCAACGGAATAATATAGTTAGCAATTAAAAATACAATGTGCGAGAAAATTCGTGTTTAAGAAATTAAAAAAAAAATATTCATTCGAATCGTTTTTCAGATCTCTGGAAGATTTGTCGAATTTTGCCGGCGCCGAGGACTGGATGGACGTGGCCGCGGGTGTCATCGGTTTCAGCGCCAGTGGTCTCGGCCGGCGCGTAGCCAACGCTTGTCTGCGGGATCTGTTGCGAAACTTTCGCGGCAACGTTTGGGGCAACAACGGGCCCGGCGTCATTACCCGCACGCTGCAAAAATTTTGCGCCGTCAAAAACGTTAGTTTGCCTCTTTTCTTTTTTTTTGTATCGTTTCTAGGTTTTTTTTTTTTTTTTTTTCTCCAAGGTGACTATACTTTAAGGTGAATAAAGTTTGATATTTTATGCATTTTGTTGCTTTCCAATTGGTATAATGCCTATCTGAAGAATATACAAGATGTGGAATGATAATTAGAGATAGTCAGAGGTAAAACGAATGTTGTCGCTAAATGTAACATTTTTTCTCATTTTTTAAAATTAAGAGTATTTTATTTTTTGTTTGGCAATTGTTTGATTAGGCCAACTCGTTGAAAAAAAAAAAAGTAATAAAATAAGAAATCAATGTTTGCAACCTTCAATTTTGAGAAAAAACTAACACTTTGGAAGCATATTAACCTTCGGCGAAAAATACATGTGCGAATCGTTATTGTTTATCTTTGACCTTCTCATTACATGCAAAATCACACTGCGCTCCGTGACTATATACCTAACAATTGTAATTATGTCATCACTCTGTTTGAAGTGAACATTTTCGTTTTACTACGAATTAAAAAAAATTGCATAGTAGTTCTGCGGACTTTGTCGCATATATTCACGTAAAAATTTCCAAAGGATTTTATTACTTATTATCAAATGCAATACGTACTTACAAATAAGGAGCATTACTTACGTAATTGCAAATACGCTAACTTTTTTATTAAGTAAAAAAAAAAATGGGTTATTACTTTTTTTTNATTTATAACATAAAATATGTATGCGATGGATTTTATTTCATGATGGTTAAAAAATCTAAAATTCAAAATATATTTTTACTACAGAGAAAAATATTAAAATACTACGTGATGGCAAGTAGCACGTAAACATGCAATGTGCAGAGTACTTTTATGTTATTAAATTCCTTGTTTTTCGTTCCAAAAATCAATTTTTTTCCTTCCTTTTGCGGTATTGATTTGAAAACAACCAAAGGCCAACAACAAAATTATCTTGTTTTACTAATAATCTATATCACTAAATATTTTAAGGGTAGATATCGTAAAAAACAGTTGCCTTGTAACACTACGTAAAAATACAGGATAATTGTTTTGAACTTTTTACCCTCTAACTACAGAAATAGATGAATATTTCTTTAGTGTTGATACGTTGTTTGCGTCTAGTGCATCAGTCGTCGAGGCTCGGCTAAAGTACTTGAACAGCGAGGGATTAATATTAACATTTCATTGACTAAGACAACAGATTTGATAAAAAATGGAAAAATTTATCAAAATAGTTGCTTGTACATTGCTTTGCACAACTATAATTAATAGCTTACCAGAAAACGACATTTTGGAGCAAGTTTCAAACTACTTACGAAAAAATTTAGACTTGAAATACGTGACAATCATAACAAAAGACGAAAAAAAACTTTCCCAAATGTCTTTTAAAATAATAAAGACTTTGGAACAACAGTTTTCTACTTCCATCTTGACAACAGAAGTAACGAAATTAAGAAAAAATCCCAACATGAATCGGACTTTGGAAAATTTTTCTGGATTACTGGAACGCAATACTTTCAAAATTCTAATTGTTGATCTTTCTGTAAGTAAACTCCAGTTGGATTCGGAATTCGATTCCTATTTCAAACTTTTGAAGGACTACAGTTACGTCGGCCAACGGCCGCATTGCCTGATATTTTTAGTGTGCAAAAGGTCTAGCGAGGGTGTCCGAAATCTTTTCAAAAAAATGTGGTCTTTGCGATACTTGGACACGGCAGTTATTGAAATTGTCGTTACAAAACCACCCGCGAAGAACAAATTAATATCGTTCGAAATCATGGAATCTTGTCGATAATGTCACAGACGTCGGGATATTTCATTACAATCCTTTTGACGGTCAACTGCAGTTCAAACGAAAATTCAACAGTACACAGATACTTCCTCATAAACTGAAAAATATAAATAGATATCCAATAATAGTTGGGCATTCAAACATGTTAAAAACAAATTCACTCAAGTTGCTACCAATGAGAGACTACTTAGGTCGATCAGTTGATGAAAATTTCTTGAGGGTCGCTGATTTTAGTCAAATAACGAGCAATCGAAAAAAAAAAAAAAAAAAAAAGTATTTATTTTTCTACAAAAAAATAGTGTAATAAAAAAAGTTACATTATGAGACTGTTGGAAAATTTAAAAGTGTATACGTTTCGTTGATAATTTATTTAGTTTGTGCGAGTGTTATAAAATAACAAGAAGTTTAAATGCAGAAAGTGCACTTCTTTTTATAATTTTTCATTACGCTAACTTAATTACGCTGCATAAATGTGTAAAATAATTTCTTACATAATTTTCACTTATGGATTTTTCCATTTTTTATTCATAAGTAGTTACATTTACACAAAGAAAGTGTCTATATGCCATAAATATTTTTGATATTCAAGCAATGCATAAAAAAGTAAAGTCAACCCAAATAATTTTTGAATCGTGAAATCTAATTGTGTAATAAGTAGTTTTTATCGAGCACTAGTAATTTTTTTATAGATGGCTGACAGAAGCCAAATGCTACTTATTTAAACGTTTTACATCAATTTTTTATTTACTCAAATAAGTTTAGTATGCAATAAATTTTGTAATAATGTCCAATGAAAACTCACATCTACGATCTACAGTTAATATTGAGCAACATTATTGAGTATTTTAATTGATTGTAAACGATGAAAATATTGTCTTAAACGCATACGGCATTTTTTCCTTTAGACGTAAACCATCATAAATCTTTGAATTTTAATTTTTCGATGTCAGTTACTGGTTTGCATGAAATAAAGTATGAATAATAAGTAAAAAAAATTTTTTTAACTATTTTTATACCAATAATATACTATTATTTATATTTTTAGATCAATAATTCTTACACTGGTGAAGTTTTAATTTTTTGTATTTACCGTATCTTATTGTCTATCGAATAAATGCTTAAACTCACATTAGAGATACTTTAAAAATATTTAATAATTTTTTTAAATCGTCAAACGCTGTGAAAAACCGCAATTGGATGATTATAAATTCACTTATTTATCTGTACGAACATCAACATATTTTGATGGAACAGAAAGCTTGAGACATTTCATTTTTGCGTATTGAAAACGGTTCCTAACGAGTAAAT